GTAGGAACATAGATAAGTGTATATATATATATATATATATATATATATATATATATATATATACATACACACATATATACACATTAGGGATGTCAATTTTCGATCATTTCCATGATCGATCGTCGTTTAAATTAACGATTATTTAATCGATTAATTGTTAACCTTAATGCTGCAAAATGCGTCTATGCAACCTGGCATGACAGGATGTGCAAAAGTTACTAAAAAAAAACGCTTTCTCACCCGATTTAAATGGGTTTTAGTCTGAATAAAATGCTAGTAGCAGGATTGTAAAATGAATGTGATTAATATGATCATTTGATAAAATGAAGAGAGCTAGTTTGAGATAATTTTACTTGGATGACTGTTTCCTATCCTGTCACGGAGATCGCTGAACGCGCCTCTGTAAATGGTTTCGTGGTGCTCGTTGTTGTATTTTAAAACTATACATATCTAAAACTGAGACATTTCTCAAAGTATCTTCTGTTAGTGTATAGGGATCTGAGCGCAATAGCTCAATTCAAGTGTGTATCCCAAAATTCTTCATTATATGAAAAGAGTGGTCAAACGGGTTTGAAATAATGTGAGGGTGTGTAATTTATAGTATTTATTTATTGAATTTTCTAGTATTAACTAGAGGTCGACCGATAGTGGATTTTGCCGATACCGATAGCTAGGTTGGACCACACTGGCCGATACCGATTAATTAACCGATAGTTTTTAAAATGGATACAGAACAAAAACTAAAATAATGCTTTATTAAAAAAACAGTACTGAACCATACTAGTAGTAGTAGTAGTAATAATAATAAAAATGTTGAAATTAACGCACTCTAGCAAGGAACAATACTTTCATTACACAGCTTTCATTAATCTTAATGTTACAAATGGACTCTTATTTTAAAGTGTTACCATTTCATTTCAACAGTCATGCTTAAAGATGCACATCTTTAAATATATACACAAAGGCCATAGCATTAAAATTATATACATATGGATATTGTATGTATACTCTCACACTTTAACTTCTTCTATTCCTGAACACTTGATGATTATCTAATCAAAATAAAAGCGCAGCAGTCTAGGACAGGGGTCGGGAATCTAACAAGGAACAATACTTTCATTACACAGCTTTCATTAATCTTAATGTTACAAATGGACTCTTATTTTAAAGTGTTACCATTTCATTTCAACAGTCATGCTTAAAGATGCACATCTTTAAATATATACACAAAGGCCATAGCATTAAAATTATATACATATGGATATTGTATGTATACTCTCACACTTTAACTTCTTCTATTCTTGAACACTTGATGATTATCTAATCAAAATAAAAGCGCAGCGCTGAGTCTAGGACAGGGGTTGGGAACCCTTTTTTGACCAAAGAGCCATTTTTTTATTTTTGGTTAATGCATTTTTCCGAAAGAGCCAAAGTAAAAAAATAAATAAAATAATAAATGTGTGTGTGTGTGTTTTCAATAACATTTTAATAATAGTAACTTTATTAGGACCATGGAAACTAAAATGCACAAATATGCAACAAATCGTCAAAAATTGTGCAGGGCTTTTACTGTGAGGTTGATTTACAACCTGAGAGGGATGCATTCTCTTCAGAGTTCTCTCTCTCTCTCTCTGCGCGCGCGCGTGAGTGTAAGAGACTGAGTGAGTGAAAAATAATGCACGGTGCCAACCGTATTTATGTGAATACACACCAGTGCAGGCATTTT